CCTGCAGACAGAGTTCATTATAGAAAAGTTTAAAACCTCACTGAGATGATTTAACGCTTCTTTTTTATTTTCCAAGTCAAACCCAGAACTCTATTATCCATCCAGGTTTGCAAAACTTCCAGTTATTCTGCTCATTCCCACCTCCGTGTTTTATTATCTGCTGGATCAGCTTAGCAAAAGTTAGAGAAGAAGAAGCAAACAAACAGGAAGACAGCATGAAATAAAGAAAAGCAGGTGGTTAATTTTTCACCAAAGGGGAAAAGCAGGATGGTGAAGTGGAAAGTGCATCCAGGCCGCTCACCACTAACTCTGCTTTGCTTTGTGTTTGTACATAAAAGTTAAATGAAAGATCCTGTGTGTCCTCATGCAGACTGGGTCTATGCTGGTGTGGGACTGCAGGTTTATATTAACTTTATATTAAGTACTGTAACGAGTCGTGTAATTATTTTATTCTGGCAAGTAATTAAGTAACTTAATTTTGCTAAAAGTACTTTAGTAACAAGTAATTAAGTTATCAGTTATTTTTGAGTAGTCAGCTCATGAACTGTAAGGTTTAGTTTATATCGATATTTTTTATTTTAATGTTATAGCAGCTCGTGTGCTGTAAACATGATGTTCATTAAGACGACGCCACCTTGTGGTGCAGGTCGTCATTACACTTTGCAGAGGGCTCTCACAAAACGTACCTTTAATGAGTTAACTGTATAAAAATATGACCAGGAACATTTTCAGTCATGCTGCTTTTTCAAAGTCTCAAGAAATGGAAAAAAATAACGAATCTTTTTACAGGGAGCCGGCGGTGGTGACCATAGTGGACATGATCACAAAACTCTGCAGGCACGTCTTGTGAGTAGCACTCAGAATTCATGCGGCATGCGAGCCCCCAGAGTCGAGGTCACACAGTCGCAGATTTAATGAAGTACAACCACACGAGTCCTCGGGGCAGGCGGTGCCGAGCCGAGCCCGTGGGGACGGCGCGCTGACATCACGTCTTCGCCAGCCCAGTAAATAATGAGGCTGGGCTTATAAGAAAGCAGAGCGAGATGACACAAACTTTGATGTCTTTGTTATGATCCTGCAGCTGTAATCAGATGCTAATTCAGTTTTACGTGTGCCTCTCTTTTGTTTCTTTCCTGTTGGGCTTTGGGGTTCGCCGACAATGCGACACAGTGTGTTTCTGTCTGAAAGAGACAGAAATACACAAAAATGAGGAAGCTACAGGCTGCCAGAGGAGGACATTCAAATTACTTCAGACCCTGACAACGTCTGTCCTCGCCTTTGTTTCCCATCTTTTTTTCCCCCCTTTCTCCCTCCTCTGCCTGCCTCATACAGTAGCTTTTTCAGCACACTGCTGCATCTCGCCACAATAAAGCTAAAAAAGGAAACCCGACAACATGCAGAGGTGCCACGTTCTGCAGGCATCATCAATAAATCAGCAGAAGAGGAGGTGAACTGCTGTAACCAGCTCATACAGCCAACAGCCGCTGATGGGGAACGTTTTTAGAGAGCCGCTGTATGTGAACATCAATGGCTGTGTGAGAGGCAGGCAGACAGGCCTCTGGGCCATGCAGCATCTGGGTCAGAGCAGAACAACCAAGAGGGGAGAGTAAACAACAAAATTAGGAGGCCAAACGCCACAAAGGCTGGCTTTAATTTCACCCAGAGGTTTTTGCAAGAAAAGGTTTTCCAACATCAGTGTTTTGCTGGTTTATATCATCACAGTGTGCTCCAGACTACAGTTTGGTGGATGCTGTGATGGAGGGAGAGATGGGAGGTTTCATTGACTAAAATAACCAAGTGATGTCTTTTTTCAGAACCTCAAAAGAAATAAATGGCTTTATCCATTCAAAAAACAAACACAAACAACAATGTGGTTTGTATCGATCGAGCTAAGGCGTCTGGCACAACGGATGGTTTGACAATCACCTGTCATACAGATGTGAGTGTGCGCAGGCAGAAGGAATCACTTCTACCATAATGGAACTAAAGGTGTTCCCCAGGGTTCAATTCCAGGACCACTCATTTGTTCAATTGTGAGAATCTTGGTGGTATCGTAACAGCAAACGTTTTTTTAGAGTGAAACAATCTCTGCGATTTAAAACTCGTTAACTGGTGACAAAAACAACAAATGATGATTTCAAATGAGAAAACCACTCATCACTGCAGTCCAGGGCTCGGAAACTGGAACCAGATTTTTACTTCAGAATCCAGTCCTGTCCGTCCACTTTTGTGCCACTTTGCGTGTGTCGAATCAGAAAATTGAAGTTTACGGTATGTTTGAGGGAATAGAATAAATGTATCACAGTATCCTCCATCACCAACACCAAAATATAGATGAGCCATTGACTCTGTAACAGTTTGATCAATAACAAATTACAGTGAAGTCACCGCAGTCGGCCGATTCCCATCCTTTGAAAGAGAAGCACGGAGTAACAAAGTAAATAAAAGGACATAAATGACAAATGGGCAGCAGAAGTGGAATATTTCCAAGAGTTTGTGCAGCAGGAAGTCACAATCAAGATTTCTTTCTACCAACCTGTGGAAATGGATCAACGTTAGATTTTAACTCACCAAGTCTCCCTCCTGGTTCCTGATGTCGGCGCTGATGTCAGACTGAGAGTCAAAGGAACTCAGGTAGCTCCACCTCTTCAGACCTGCAGAAAAAAAGAAAAACATCCTGTTGACAGAACAAATCTGCATTCTCACGGTGCCACCTTAGATTTCTTAAGGCGGTATTCCCGTGTAAGGTGAGGCATCTGTGCTGTCGCTTCTTACCCGTGCTGGCACTGAAATACGATGAGTCGGCGTCGTCACGGGAGACAGAGCGTCCAATGTCAACTGACGGGTCCCACTCCAGCCCCAGGTGCTCATGGGTAGGAGAGGATGGAGGAGGAGGATGGTGAATGGGTGAGGGAGGGTCTGAGGAGGAGGCAGATGAGAGGTTTATGGTTCGTTTTGATCTTAATCCTTTTGTGAGTAACTGATCAAATGGAGATGTTGGTTTACCTTTAGGATGGTTGGACGATGCGAGGAGGTTCACATTTTGCTTTTCAGCTGTTCCCTCATCTTCTAAAAGACTCTCCGAAGGACAACCAGAGTCTGTAGCCTGGGACAGAATGCAGTCGTCCTCAAACACCTGGAGGAAGAGGATGGGGAGGAGGAAGAGGATATTTATGAGTGCTGGGGTTTGGTTGACGTGCATGTTTTTGAAGCTTGACTTCAGACTTTATCACAGTAATCAGTAATCAGTTACTGGAGCATGTCAGACCACAACATTAAGTCCTTAATACGCCTGAGTTTTTACTGTTACGTATCTCTATGACTGGAATATCTGGACAGTCCAGTCAGGATTCCTGAATCTGGGAGCTACTGCCTGCAGACATCTTTCTGGGAAAGATGGCCAATGTTTCAGATACAGCCAGTAAATCTGGGCCAAAGAAACAAAGAGGGGCCTGATATAAGAAAGGCCAAAACATGGAGGCTTAGATGATGACAAAAAGTAAACCTTGCTCACAAACAAAAAAGCTAAAATAAAAAACAACAACTGATGCCAGTATATTCACTCTATTCCTCAGAGACCTGTTACCTGCATGCAAACTAACCCTGAATCGTCAGCATGATGAAAATAGTAACGAGGAAGCTTCTGGGAACCAATCCGAGGGTTAAGTGGGCGTCCGGTTCAGTGGTCTCAGGATCTCGTCTCTGCTTCTTGGGGATGATGGTTTTATTGGCTTCGTCAGGTGGCGGCTGAGGTTGGAGCAGATTGAATGAAAATTAGCGCCTCAAAGTCTCTGAGGGCAGAGTTCTCAGGTGGGAAGAGGGGAGTGTCAGGAGTGTTGCTCCCACAAATGGAGACGTATTTTGGGTTCTTCTCTGTGAGTGAAGCTAGAGATTGAAGAGCAAAGCCAGTCTACTGGGCAATGGCCACAAACCTTCAGTGGTGATAGAAAGAATGAGGTGGTGGATAAAAGCAAGAGAAATGAGATTCTACCCAAGGGTGTCTGGCTCAGCCTCGGGATGGGATGAGGAACTCTGGGAGGGGCAAAGAGGTGGTCCACTAATCCTCATCATCGAAAGGAACCAGTTGAAGTAGTTCGGGGATCTGACCAGGATGACTCCTGTGTAAAATGTTCTGGGCATCATCCACTGGGAGAAGACCCTGGGACAGACCCAGGACATGGAGAAGGGGTAGACTGGGAATGCCTTGGCATCATCCCAAGGAAGGAAGGAGTACAAAAAACCTCATCCCTCAAGTTCTGAATATTCCCACTAACCTGAACCTGAATGTCCCATCATAAACTCATTGTGGACTTC